TCAGACAACGGCCCCATTCCCTTTTCTCCCCTCTACTCGTTAGTTGAGGGTAGGGAAAGTGAAAGTCGGAAAATTAGTATATAAGGCATTACCATTGTTAAATTAGTTAGTTTTATTCTCACCTGAGGATGACCACTTTGTGGTCGAAACGCGTTGTGCTATTAAAATAAAAGTTTGGTGTGACGGGCTAATCGTGTTTTTGTTCATCGTTTCTATACCAAGAAGATCCAAGAAGAAGAATTAAACAAGTTGAATACAACTTTTTATTCTTTTAATTAAACTCAACAAGGCTTAAACTTGCTTTAAATCTGTTAAAAATAATCTGCATTTCGTATTGAGAAATGCCAAATAGTTGACAAAACTTCCTTACACGGGAGAAAAACCGTAAATTTTGACAGTGTCCAAGAATAAAATAAATTATAATTAATAGTTTAATACCAATTGCTCGTATTTTCTTTACAAACTCGTTTACAAATTAAGTTATTGTTTTTCTATGACCTTATTAATACCAAAAAAATCAATTTGTTTTACCAATAATTAGATTAGCAGTGAATAAAAGGAACCGATGGAAGCCATTAAAAACAGTGTCATCAGTATGATGTATTGCAGTGAATTTAAAATTCAAACATTATTGATTCAATAGTAATGGGTTGGTATTTTACTACTCAGTTGCTTTATTTTTTTAATTAATTTTTATTAGAGGGTGTCGCCAAAATTGGGGGTTTCCGGTACGAAAATGGGGCTGTTTATGTCGGTTCATGGAACAAAGATGGACGCCGTCATGGCTATGGTCATTTGAAATTTCGAAATGGTAACAGATATGATGGGTTTTTTGAAGATGGACTTTTTCATGGTTTAGGGATGTTAACATTTTCAGATGGCGCCAAGTATTTAAACATATTTAATTTTAATTGGTTGAAATATTTGATTTATTTTTGTAGATATGAAGGTGAATTTACTGATGGGTGGTTTCATGGTTATGGGATTTTTTGGAGAGCTGATGGTATGAGACACGAAGGGCAGTTTTGTGGAGGCAAAATGTGGGGTTTAGGTATAAGAATCATTTCTTTATTATAGTTGTTAAATCTACCATTTTACTAGGTTTAACCACGTTTAAAGATGGGTCTAATGGGTTTCCGAGATATGAAGGGTTTTTTCAAGATTGCAAAATTTTGAAAACAATCAAGTGTCCTGAGGCCGTACAAAAAGCTCAGAAAATAGCATTTATGGCTAGAAATTATAAAGAATAAAAAATATTCGCTATTGTTTAGAAAGTACATATTTGCTGTGCAAATAAACATATAATGACTCAAACGTTAGAATTTTTCGTAATAAAATTATTGCAAAACGTACAAAATGCTCTTTTTTTGTTACAACATGCAATTTTTGTGGTTTTGTGCGAATTTTTGATCAATATTTCAAATGATTATATAATTCATTTGTAAGTGAGGTAATTTTAGATAACAACAGTGTTTTTAGCAAAAGAAATTCTCTCTTGAGACGACCCGCACCAAGTAAGTGAAACTTTTAATAATAGGTTGCTCATATTTCTACTGCTGTGATTATTTCAGTCCATTCAGAAATTTTATAAGATCACATTCCATTGAAAAATAAGCACAAAAGAAACCTTAGTTCGTCATAAGGTTATTATAAGATTTCTCTTTATTCGCTATTTCCAGCTCTTTATAACTTTTTTACAAAAACTTCAAAGTCTTATGCTTATTATTGTTGATCATGTCAGTGCTGGAGATGACAAAACTGAAACTACGAGTATCATTTTATGCGGTAGGTATTTAATGTTTATGAATGCTGCTGAAACACTGCTTAGGGATCAAAGACCAAATATGATTAATAATAATATTAAAATAAATAGTATAAATTGGGTCATTTGAACATTTTCGATTATTTGGTTGGAATTCGAACTGGGATAAAATTGCAAAAATTTGTTACAAATTAAAGAATTAAAGTCAATTTTTTTGTAAGTACGTAAATAAATTTCAACTTTATAACAATTTCAAATAAATGGTAGAAGTACCTAATATTCTCCTTAATATGTTTTAATTTTTTTAGTTCTTCAACTGTCATCTTTTGCAGCCTGAATAATTCAATATTTTTTGGTATTTTTGTGTGGTTTTTTTAAACTGTTTTATAAACCAATACTTTATAGAGTTAGTTAGGCATATTTTTATTGATTTTATTTTATTAAAATATCTTTTTTGGTACAAGTTTCTTTAATATGCTCTACTAGAAAATCTTCAAGAAAAGTTACACGAATTGCACCAATAGCACTAAAATAGTAGACTATGAAATTTTGTAGTTATATGTATTATTAATAGAGACTGGTTTTTAGGCAAAATTCCTATTTGATTCTATTTAGGGCTCGTGGATGGGATCCAAAATTTTAAACGTTTCAGATGAAATAGAGTTTTTACACAATAATAACGTATTCGTCTCAGAACGACAAATATAACCGAAAATATAACCTTTTTTGTCGTAAAACCATAATTTCAGTATTTTTTCAAATTGTTTAAACAAAAATAATTTATTTAAATTTTGTTTAACTTTATTTCGGGACTTTGTTATCGCCTTTCTGTCACTATATTTTTTTTCTTTTCAGCTTGAAGTCAGTCAAATTTACTATTTTGATTTTACAGCCGCAACCGGAAGTAAAATAAATATACGAGGTTTTGTCGTTAGCTACAATAGTAAAACTTCCGTTCCCTGGACAAAGAAACAAAATCATCAGGTTTTTATAAATACTTAGTTAAAATGTATCATAAATGCAAAATTACAAATTAGTTGCCAGTGTGGCCAGAAAAAAGTCCTAAGCTATAGATATAAGAATGTAATATTTTGTTATAATTCTACTTACACTTTTGTCACTTCTCACAATGTTTTTTCTGTATGAAATAGTGAAACCTTCTGACTCAAAATTTGTTAGTAGAGTTCAGTGGTAACACAGATTCTTCTTTTACAGAGAAATAAATAGTTTCTGACCAATTTCTCCTTAAAAAACGACGGTGCGACATTACCACTGTGGCGATAATTATAGCACGAATTTTATTTCCCCCGATTTAGAGTTTCTATAGGAACTCTACCCGCATTAAGTTTTCAAGAGAGAAAAAAAAAGATTTGTTTGTTTCAGGTTTAGTAAAAAATGTGATTCTTTTGAAGTTTTGACGTAAATTCAATTTACTTTTGCAAACTCAATCCGGGGATATATCGAATTTGATTTTTTATAAAACATATGTACAGTTGGAGACAAAATACTTTGGTCGTCAATGTCACTTAAGTGACACTAAATGGTAAAGCATGCTTTAGGACTGTTAACCTTATTTTTAGTTACTGTCAAGTTCTATGTACATATTTTTGATAGGGAAATATAATAGCTGTAATTAATTTGAAATTGTCATTTATTTTAACGTTAAAGGTTGAATTACATTAAAGTGTCAGAAAAGTGACGACCAAAGTATTTTGTCTCCAACTGTATCTGCCATATATTATTATTTGAGATATTATAAATTAAAAGACATTTATTCTCTAGGATTTTATGACCTATTTTCCTATTATAATGTCCTAAGTATTATATGTTTTTACTGTTAAAAAAAATATTAATAAAATATTAATATTAATTATGCAATTTTCGTTTCCATTAATTTTGCAGTGGACAAATTTGTTCATGATTTAAGACGTTATTGACATTGACATTCGAATTTCTGTCGCAGACATCGTCTCCTGATGGTACAGTTTTTGTAGAGGACTTTTTTTCTTGCCGTTTTACATTTTACATCGAATATTCGCTCCATAAAGAAGGATCGAGTATTTTGTGGACTAGAAATGGAACAAATTATTATACTAAAACTATGTATGTAAAACGGAAAAACTACTTACCAAATCATATAAATATGCCAGCAGAACTTCCTCGTGAATTATTTTCACTTCATGTTGCCGCCGCCATTCATTAAACACCTTGTATTCTTTATTGTAACGCTCCTCAGACTTGAGGGGAATAAGTTTTCCTGTAGCTGCTTTGCTTTTTCTAAGATTTCCTTAGAATTGTTCATATTTTGATCACACATTTTTACTTTTTTGACTTTTTTGATGCAAATTGTAAACAAACAACCATAACAACCCCTCTAACCACGTAGTCCGGTCAAAATAGACATTTCAAATAACTAAAATTCCGACAGAGCTAAATTTTGGTAGAGATCTTGGGTACATCATTAGGAATAAAGTGTCAAAAGTTCCCATCGATCCCATGTGTGCTAAAAAAGTTATTCGGGGTCAAAGGTCAAAATTTGACGTTTTTTAGATTTTTTCGAAAACGGCAAGTTTTATCAAAAAAGTAGCTCAGACAAAAATTATAGATCTTAAAATTATCTACAAAATGGTTTTTATACTTTTTTCCTAAGAATCACCATTCCTGAGATATCGCGATTCTAAAAGTTGAAGAAGTAACGTTCTAGATCATATGCACATACAGAGTGCGCCAGAACTGGCGCCCCAAAGAAAAATGCTATGTAGGGTAAGGTACCAGGAACATGGAAAAAATTTAAAAAAAATTCTACCTATAAAAATTTATAAGAGTTATAAGACTTTAAATTTTGCACTTTAACTCTATTTATTTCTGTAGGATAAATAATTTTCCACGTTTTTTTGCTACAGGCTATTAGAAGCGGAAACAAGGAAGTTGTATCCTAAACTGTAACTCTGTTTAATGTTATTTGTGGCTTTTATTGGCAAAAGTTTTGTACCTTTACTAAATAATTGTAAAAAACATATACAAAATCATCAGTATTATTAAATAGACATAAAAAAATGTCAAATGTCAAAAAACAGATAGAATTTTTTAAACATTTTTTTATGTTCCTGGTATCTTATCTTACTTGAAATTTTTCTTCTACTTCATTAAACTTATAAATATCTCGATTCCATTAAAATTAAAAAGAATTTATTTGGTAATACATACAGGATGTTTAAAAAATCGCGCACTTTCTTGAAAGAGAGTAATTGGATAGTCCTCTGAGTACTGAAAAAATGTTTAAAAAATTCTATCTGTCAAAAATTTTTGACATTTATTTTTTGACATTTGACATTTTTTTATGTCTATTTAATAATACTGATGACCTTATATATGTTTTTTTATAATTAAAAAAAAGCTACAAAAATTTTGTTAATAAAAGCCACAAATAACATTAAACAGAGTTACAAATTAGGATACAGTTTCCTTGTTTCTGCTTGTAATAGCCTGTAGCAAAAAAACTTGGAAAATTATTTTTCCAACAGATATAAATAAGAGTCAAAGTCAAAATTTAAACTCTTATAACTTTGAAATTTTTATAGATAGAATTTTTTTTTAATTTTTTCCATGTTCCTGGTACCTTACCCTACATGGCATTTGTCTTTGGGGCGCGAGTTCTGGCGCACTCTGCATGTGCATATGATGTAGAACGTTACTCCTTCAACTTTTAAAATCGCGATATCTCAGGAATGGTGATTCTTGGAAAAAAGTATAAAGACCATTTTGTAGATAATTTTAAGATCTATAATTTTCGTCTAGGCTACTTTTTTGATAAAACTTGCCGTTTTCGAAAAAAATCTAAAAAACATCAAATTTCGACCTTTGACCCCGAATAACTTTTTTAGCACACATGGGATCGATGGGGACTTTTGACACTTTATTTCTAATGGTGTACCCAAGGTCTCCAACAAAATTTAGCTCTGTCGGAATTTTCGTTATTTGACCACTATTTTTATGACTAATTTGACCGGACTAACGATAATTATCCATTTTTGCTTGACGCAGGTTTGAACAAATGCATTTTTGGTTCTTCTTAATTTTGAGTGAATTTCGGTATGAAATAAAGTACGTTATGTGATTCGTCCGGTACCAGGATATTACGGACTCATTACGCAAACAAATTCTTACTCGGCTTCACCTCGTCCGAATTAATTACTTATTCGTCCGTAATATCCCTTGTACCGGACTTATAACGTAAATAACTATTACAGGAGTTACTATTATAGTACTTGTATGAGTCAATTTTGCTTAGTTTTCAAAATAAATTGTTTTTTTTTGACGAAAACATAGTCTTTTTAAAAATGTATTACACAAAAACTAGGAGAGCTAAAAACAAGTTAAAGACAAAGTTAAAAGAAAAGTTTAAAAGACAAAGTTGTAGATAATTAAATTTGCTTTAAAAAAGTTCGCGACACCATGAATTGTGAATGTGGGAAATTGTTTTCCAAAAAAGTTAAGTATAATATTTTTTTCTCGCATGGCTCATGTCATAACTACTC